AAATAATACCAGCAATGAAATGAAATGACAGAAATAAAAATTATAGCCAAGTGTAACCCCGAACAACATGAGGGGCGAAAATAATCTTTGTAAGGATGTTATGAAAGTGTGTCTGCTTTCTGTAGCACCTGCTGCTCCACTTCTTATTTTGCTTTCTAATCAAACTTGATTTAGCTAATAATGTACAAACTCTCCCTGTATATCACAAATAGTATACATGAAAGGACAGAGTGCAAGTTTTAGACAGCATGATGTTCAGAGTTCTCAGAAGAAGCATTAATACAGTTTTGTCTTTCTACTTTTGTAATGGACAAGTAAGGCCATAAGGGTTTGTTTCAATTGCATAAACACATAGACAGAAGCTGGAATATGGAAGGGATGACATTCAGCAGAGGCAATAATACAAATTATTAAAATATAGGTACAGCAACAGCTGATGGAAAAATAGATAATATAAAACTAATATTCTCGTGAGCTGCTGTGAAAGGCAATCCCTTTTTAAGAAAAATAAAATAAAAGATCTATGCCTACAATTTTAAGCATGGTTTAAAGGGTTTCCCAAACATGGTGCTGCAGCTAAATGTTTACAACCCAAAAGTTACTAGACCATTTTGAATTATATCTGTATTAAATGGAGATGTACATTGTGTAAATACATTATAAATTATTTGTATAGACATAACATATGCTGGAAAGTGGCAGTCTTTAATTTCATTAAATAACTTTTAAAAAGTTTGATGCTGTGTGTGCCTGTCATTATTTTTCTTTCTTAACCAACAGTTGGGAGAGGTCAGAAGTTATTACAGTATGTAAATATAAGAACCAGTGAATTAGGATATAAGGATCCTATGTTGCTCTCCCACAGTTGCTAGTATTTGAGTGGTACATATCACATGGAGAAATCTTCCATTTCGGACAAAGTAACAGGATCTTTAGTAGAGCTAGTATTTTTTCACTTTATTATGCAATGTAATATGGCTTTGTGAACTAAATAGTTCATTAGTTACAGCAATCCAAAATAAAAACAAACTGTACTAGTGAATAAACATATATCCCCTCCACCCACAACTATCTGGGGCCTTGGAATGTTGACCCTGGATTATAAGGACCTTTCATTCTAAAAAAGGATTTGTGATCTTAGAAGATGAGCCTAAATCCAGGTTTTAAAATGGTAATAATCCTTATCAGTAATGTTTAATTTGTGTATTCAACTTATCTTAAATAAACTGGAAGCACAAAGAAATCCCCAAGTTTTCAAGGCCTCTACAATGCTGTTGAACTGGAAAAAGGAAGAACAATTGCTATTTAATGCATATCCCTTTTTTAGGACAGCTAACTTTCTGAATGTAGTTCTATTCACAGCTCTCTGGCTGTAAACATTAAGACATTAACAATCCTAATACTGTACCTGATTGTCTCCATCCGAGCTATGATACTGTGTCCTCAGGAAACTCGGCTGGGACTCACCACTATGTTGCCATATTTTGTTGTTATTCTAGGATTCTGAATTTTTTCAAGCCACAGTAAAACCTTTGTCCTACTTCATTGCGTGTTATCTGTTGGTCATTTGTTTTTTTACCGATTTGAATGACTGTTACACGTAAGTTTTCACTGTTAGCTACTCTGGGAAAAATTGGTAACAGTTGTAAGATACATGAGTTGCAAGATACATGTTTAGTAAAAATCATTAGGAGAGGCAAAACACCAGCAAGATAAAGGTAAATATTAGAAGGGGGAATATATTACAGGCTAAAAGTAAATATTAGGAGGAGGCAACACATTACAGGATAAGAGGAAATTAGTACAAGGGGGACAATGCATTACAGGATAAAGCAGGTTCACCTTCTGAGAAATGGAAGTAAGCATAGAAACTGAAGAGCTCTGCTTCTCTTTGCCCATTTTCTCTTTTTTTCGACGGGGTCCCTGTTTGTTTTCCCAGCGAGCAAGAAGTTGAAGTTACTTAAGAGTAAGACGCACTTACTTTGGAGTGAGCCCGTACAGGATTACTTTGTATACTGTGTTTCAAACCCTGAGAGTACCTATGCGAGCATCGGAAGGAAGACTTTGCAAAGGGCAGGAAGAAGCGACGGGAGGGAGGAAGGAAGGCAAAATGGGGTCTCCGGTAGAACAAGCAGGTCGAGAAGCGACTGAGCGGCGAAGGAAACCGGACAACGCGGCCGGGAACCTTTTCGTACATCCCAGAAAGATTCCTCGTATCCTAGCAACGGTTCGTCCCTCCCTCCGAAAGGGGATGAGAGAGCGCTCCCGCAGCGTGGCACCAGCAGCAGGTGTAAGGCGGAAGGAGCCGAATCTACCTCGGCCGAGCCGCTGACAGGTATGCTGGCGCATGCGCAGTCGACGTGCCTCGGGACCGCAGGCCGCGTGGAGTAGCGGAAGAAGCCGATTGCCCGTTGCTTTCAGGTAGGAGAAGCCCCGTGTCGGCTGCTGGAGTTCAGCGCCGGAGAGGCGGGCGGCCGCAGGGGTTGCCATGGCAACTTCTCCGAGGTGCGGGGCTGAGGAGGGGAGGCCCGCGAAAGCAAGCGGATGGGGCACGTGGGGGTGGGGAAGGGGTCGCCCGTGAGGGGCGAGGCTGCTGGTGCGGCTGGCGCTGAACGGGGTGGAGGGCAGCGTTTCCAAGGAGGCTCCTTCGCCCACGGGCATGCCAAGGGTCTCATGGCCCCGGAGTGATCAGGATTGGCACCTTTTAACGCAGCCAGTCAGTAACCAGTCAGTAACCCACGGCCTCTGTTTGCAGAAACAAGGAGAGAACGAACGGACTGTTACGACAGGCAGCCGTCCTATGGCCCTGACACTGACACTCAAAGCCAGTTTATTTTTTCATAGAAGGATGAGAGGCAATCCACTGAGATAAGAATGTATTGTTGTCATTAGAATAGATTGTGGTTAATACACAGCAGGACTATTTTGAATGGTCGATAGGCAAGGCTTTCTATAAAATGCCCCCTCTCCTTTTTTTCTTTTAACACATCCTTCTCTCAAATATCCCCCCTCTTTTTTTTTTTTGTACTGAAAGTGGCACAGATTAAATTTTATGTAGACACTAATGCTGCTTTTGCAAAATGTGGAGACTATGATTTTTACATATTACGGCACAACTGGGCCTACAACTGGGTTCTGGTTATTTGCTGAATCATCAGTCTCCACTTATCTCTGCCCATTCTGTAAGTTCCAACAGGGTTGACATCCTCCCGATCCCGTCAACTAAACCAAATAAATGGTGCCACCTTAGGTGACCCAGGAGGCCTCCCTTCTCTACCACAGCATCTGCTTTATGGAGCGACCTCCCCACCCTCTGAAATTTGGTTGGCCCCAACATGGCCAACTATTAAGAAGACCTGGTTGTTCCCCCCACATGCTGATCTAGGATGGTACATGAGTCTGTTGCAGCTATATGACTTATCTATCTGGCACTTGTACAGTATGTTTTGTTTGATTATGTTGTATTATGTCATCATTTTTCTTTATGCTTGATATTTTTAACTTTTGTTAGTTGCCAAAAATCACCTGGTGAGTGGGTAGACATAAACACTGAAGACATAAATCCATCCATCCAATATCTGGACTGCAAAAATCCAGAGGATTGCTAGATTACAGCTACAGAAAACATTAACACTGGTCATCTGGACTTTTGCAGCCCAGCTATGATAGTTCTAGTCCTTACATTTATAAGATGTAAGGCCCATCTTAATCCAACATTTTCTTTAAGCAATAGCCATCTGGCTGTTCACAAACACAAGATAAAGACAGATCCTCTCCCCCAGTTGTTATCCCATAACTGGTATTTGGAGGCATACAATATTTAGTCCACATGTAACATTGTGTCTTCAAGACTAATAACCATTAGGCTAGGCTTCAGTGAATTTTTTTCAATCTCCCTTTAAAACAATCCAAATTAGTGGCCATCACCATGTCTTGCAGAATGAATTACAGAGATTAATTATGCACTGTGGAAGTGCTTTCTTCTGCTTGTTTTAAGTCTCCTAATCAGCTTTATTGGATGACCCTGATCCTAGTGATTCTAGAGGAGGGGAAAAAAAACCTTATTCCTGTCTACTTTTTGATTTTGCATACCTCAGTCATATCCCTGCTCAGTTTCCTGAGCATTACTTTATATATAGTTAAATTGAGCCATGTTTGTAATTTGGTTGGTCATTCAACCAGTCTGAAGAGATCCTTCTGGAACTCTTCATGATTGCTTTTGGTTTTTATTACCCTGAGTGGTTCAATTTTCTCTGCAAACTTGGCCAGTTTATTCCTAATTATCAAGATCTATAAAACACTGATTTCAACACAGCTGCACTTCTAACTTCCTTATCCATGTAGTCTTATTTTTGCTTTCTGTTTATAACTAGTTAACAATCCATAAAAAGACAGCTTCTCTTATCCCCATTACCGCTATGTTTACTCAAGAACCTTTGATGAGAAACTCCCAAATATGAACAATTTATAATAAGTATGAGACGTGAGACCCCAAGGGAGATTGTGCCTAGTAACACTTAAGTGTTCCACAGCTTCCCTATAGATGTAAATATAGATATAAAGTTCCTGAAAACAAAGTTGTTCATATTGTCTGCTATTTCCTACTATTGAAGAGTAGTTTTGTTGCACCTTACAGCTCTCATGTTTTCTTTACAGTTACCTGATAGTCTTCTTATTTAAATCAGTTCAATATTTGTTATTAGTTAATGGCTTATGTTGTTTTTCCTCTACAAATGAAATAATGTCATTCTGCTGTTCTCATTCATGTGGTCCTGTGTGGACAGCAGCTTCTGATATTACTTATTCTCTATTTGGGTTAAAATTGTATAAAAAGAAAAATTGGCAAGCCATGATTCCAGCAGAGTAAAATACAGCTGAATCTCTCCCCCCCCCCCCCCCCATTTAGTTCCGAAACAGGATTATTTCTTCATGTTTGTTGTCTGAAGGATCCTTTTAAGAAGGATTTCTGGCATTTTTATTACACCATTTTCTAAGACTTAGGGCATTAAAGTGGTACTATATCTGATGCAGAATAATGCTGTAAATAGCAATGGTTAAAAAAAAGGAAACATTTTACAAAACCCTGAATTCATTTTTGCTCACATAGTATTGACAGGTACCTTATAATTTTTATCATGAAACTACAGAATAAGGTTCCAGCTGGCACCTTGTCTTCCTGTCCCACTGGGACTGATAAATGCTTCATTCTTAAGGTTATCATTGGGCCCATACATGCCCAGCAAGGAGGACATTTTTAATAGTAGTGTAAAAACTATCAGATTTAGATCTTTGAATTCAAAATGCAAGTCTATTTGGAAGTGCTTTGAGCTGGAAAAAGCTACTTTTGAGTTTGAAACACTCTGTTTTATATTAAAATTTTCCAAAATGGTGGATACAGCCAATTCGAAAAGCAAAACTGTTTCAGACTCAAACCAACTGTTTTGTGTGTTGCAAATTCACATTCAAAACATTTTGTAAAACTATAATTTTTAATATGTTTGGCTCTTATTCAGTTTCCTATTACTGACTAATATGGGAGCTTGGTGTTATTTATATTTGATTTGATTCCAAAATCCTGATTCTGAACTAATGCTAAAGGTTCTCAATCAAACATTTGAAATTTATATTAAATAGTGTTATCTTCCATTATTGCTTTTATCTTTTTATGCATTTATTTATACTATATAGCAAATGCAGTGTTTCTCATTAATTGTACTGGATCACAATATCTTTGATTAAGAATTTCTGTTGTAATTACGTAACATTTTCCAGCATAAATAATAACATTTTGCCTCTAAAAATATTTTTTGCTTTACGGGCACATGTATTATTGAAAATTTCGGAATATCATTTAATGCTCACATTCTGAATAACTCTTTTAACAGTATTACTGATGACTGATGCCACTCTTCCATGCATCATAATCTTGTATTTAAATTTTTTTATATATATATACTGTATACACACACACACACACACATCACCTCTACTGCTTTGGGTCTTTAGATTTTTTGTTATTTTTAAAAAGGATTTTGCTGCAATCCTGTATGTAAGCATCCCTTTGGATTTTAAAAATTAGTTAACTATTTTATTCTACTCTTTATGCTCTTTATGTAAGAAAAGAAGGTCATTTATTTTACTTTGAAAAAGACTTAGCACAGATGTAACCCTATCCAAATGGAGGCACCTTTCAATGTAATTCTGCTTGTCTACGGTACTCTGAAATAAGCATCAATATGCTAAATGGGCCTGACTCCAGATAAGAGTATGTAGGATTGCAGTTTAAGGTAATATAAATCAACACATAAAAAAATATTTTCTTGATTCAGAATTTAGGTTTTACTTTTCATGAATTCCTAAAAAATATATCTAATACACAATGTTCTTCTGTGACAAACCAACTGTGATGTTGTTGCTATTGTATTTATAGTTGCACTATGGGTTTGATGACTGATTTGCAGTAATAGCAAATTAAGAAACTTCCTTTCAACATTTTTGTCCTATTTTATGCAGTACTGATGAGTCTGTCTTTGCTTTATTAATTTGCAGGACAAAAGTGGGAACAAAGACTGCTTCTGAAGCCATGAGTACAAATAACCAGTGGGATGTGAACAAAGCACTAACTCTTGCTAGCCTTTTCCATTTTCTTTATGGTGCAGGAAATGCTTGTGCAATCCCATTTTTAACTCTGTACTTTCGACAGCTTGGGCTGACTGCACCACTAGTAGGGATTATAATAGGACTCAAACACTTAATCACTTCCCTTTGGGCCCCACTATGTTCCTATGTAGCAAAAACCCACAATAAAAGGAAAGTAATGATCAGTGGATCATTACTGTGCTCAGTTGGAGCAGGTTTGCTGCTTACACTTATCCCACCAGTGAGCAAAGATATTATCTATAAATATTGCAATATGAGCCAGCATCCAGCTAAACAGTTGACTACAACCCAAGTGCCTGATACAGATGTAAACCATCTGAGTGCAATGAGTGGTAACCCTTTTCCTGATAACAAAATGTGGTCTACAGAATCATTTGGAATGATATCAAAGGACCAAGAGTCTACTAGGAAACCAACAGTAATGTATACCTCATTCAAAATAAAAAATATAAAAATCCCTTCTATAATAAACAAAGGTGACAGTGATGTTGATATAAGTCCACGGCCAATCATAGATGTTTCTTCTGGTGTGACATCTGGTATTTCTGGGAAAGACATTTTTCCAGCAGAGCAAAATTTGGAAAAAACTACTGCAAATGGGCCTTTGAAAGTGCCAGCTGATATTATGATTATCAAAGAAAATGCTGACAAAAATGGCTCAAGAAGAAATAGTAACTTCACATTTTATACAGTCCCATTACCTGTTACAGAGCTATCTTATGAACTGAAAAACCTGTCAGGACGCAGGGAAAGAGCACAAGATATAAGCTCTCAATTACTTCATGGCACTGACTTCTTGGACAGCGAGCATCAGGTTTTCCTTATGGTGTTAGGTGCTGTTGTCTTTTGGGAGCTTCTGGCTGCACCACTTGAGTGGATGGTTGATGATAGTCTCTATGAATACCTTGACTTTGTTGATGCTGCTGACAGATATGAGAACCTTTGGATCTGGAGTTACTTAGGTTCATCTCTGGGTGTCTGCAGCACAGCAATATTTGTGGATCAACTGAATTGCTTTTTGAATACTAATATTCCACGTTTTGCAGTGCATTTTTATGGCTATGCCTCGTTCATGACACTGACATTACTTGTCAGTGCCTTCTTTCCCATTTATGTGTCAAAAAAAAATGAACACGTCAATAAAACAGTCAAAGCTTTGAACCTCATTGGGAGTGATGGTCGAACCATCCTGTCTGCTGTCACCGTCTTCCTCACAGGAGCTATTGGGTCAACTGTGCAGAATTTTCTTTTCTGGCAAATGCAAGATCAAGGCAGTCGTGAATTATTCATGGGCCTCTCAGTGACTATTGGACTAATTGCTGAAATCCTGCTCTACATCTTCAAAAGCAAATTACTAAAGGCTATCTCGGGTAGTGGCACAGTGGCCTTGGGATTAAGTTGCCTGGCAGCACAGCTGCTCTATTATTCTTTCCTCTGGAATACCTGGGCTGTGCTGCCAATCCAGATCTTCTGTGCCTTCAGCAATGGCGCTTTATGGTGGGCAGTGAACATGCTGGCAGATGACATTGCTACTCCTGGCACAGAAAGGTCTCTGCACTTGGTCCTTCAAGGCCTCTCTTGTGGATGTGGAGCCAGTTTAGGTAGCTTTGCAGGAGGGTTTGTTGTGAACAGCTTTGGTTTAGCAATGCTCTACAGAGCATGTTCCATTACCTTAATACTATGGCTAGTTTTGTTCTTGATTGTCCAATCCAAATTACCACGACAGAAAAGGATTAATTATTCCCGTCTCCTAGCTGCAGATTCTAGTGATATGAGTGATTCTGATTATGATGATAATAAAGAAAGGGACTGGCTGGTAAAAGCTATGAAAGATGACAACTTTACTCGGAATTGGTAATAATACTAGATTTCATCAGTCACTTCATCAGAAAGTAGACTTCAGAGAATTAAGGTGAAGTTTTTAGAAATAATCCACATGGGATCTGCAAGAATGCATTCTACTGGCAGTTGGATTTTGTGATGTACATATCTGCTCAGGAAATTATTATAAAGATTTTATAAAGATTTTATTTTCTTAAGATTAATTTATTGTACATATTTATAACAATTTTGGTTTTCTAAAATGTTCATTTTCAAAACTAGGGAAAGGGGGATTTCAACAGAAATACTGTGCGTTTTTTTCCACTATGAGAATTGTCCTTACAGAGGCTGCTTAATCATTTTTTAAACAAACAGAATTCTTTGAACTTTATAAAATGCTTCCCCTCTTATTTTTAATCACAATTATATAGTAGTTACTATGAAAAAGAATATTTTGCTTGCTTTTCTTTTCTTTTTTTAATTAAAGGTCATTACAGATATTTCAATATTTTTGAAAACTGAGCTGTAATTCTGGCAAACCATCTAATTCTTCAGGACAGTTTTTTTCTTAAATCTATAAGATATATTTGATCTAATGTTTGAAATGTTCATACACTAAAAAATTTTAATTTTTCCCCCCAGTAGCTGAAATGTGACCATAAAGCCCTCATGAACGATAGATTAGGGGTTGTAGATTAGGATGGTCACTTATTCCTCTCCAAAAAGGAAGACAGACTTGCATAGCGTTTGCACGTGCTAATTTATATGTACACACTGCAAATCTCACCATAATGAATGAGTCTGCTGCTTAGGTGCTGATGATTTTAGCCACTGCTTTCTGTTTTTATTGTTCTTTAAACCAGACTTGGTCTTCAAATAGAAGATTCTCCTCTATAAAATATGGTCACATAAGCAGTTTACACATGATTGTAACATTCTATCTTGCATTAATAATATTTACAGAATTCTCATGTTTTTATAAATCTTCAGGATATATGTAATAGATTTTTTTGGTTTGTTTTTTTTGTTTTATTCTTCTAGGATAAAATAGAACCTTTTGTAAGTATCAGGTGTTTTGCGTAAATACTCAGCTATAATACAATCTGGTTTAACAGATTTCATTGTTTAGATCAAGGAGGCAATAATAAAGTGCTCTGAGGGCTACAAACTCACAGTAAAGGACCTGATTCTCAACAAGCTGTTTACTTAGAAAATGCACTATTACAGTAATTGCCTTTGTATGTTCAATTACTGAAGAATGGAATAAAGTTTCAGAAGAATGTTGTGAGAATCATGGGAAGAAAGAAGGTGATCTTCCCAATTTCACAGAAATAAATTCACATGCAATCTCCACAAGTTCTGCTCCCATTTTGCAGTTAATAGTAAACATCACTTTATTTTTCCAAGAAAAACTGTTACTGCTAACAAGTTACCTTTTCATTGGAGGACGTTTGGCTTTTAGTTACAACAACACAATAAAAATCCATCTGTAGATCTTGGGAATGGAAATTGCTTGAGAGATTTTACAAGTATTTTTTATTTTATTTAAAATCTTATGTATTTAGAAAAAGAATGTAACTTGGAAAACTAGAAATGAATACAGGAATTCCATATCTGGAATTTGCAATGTCATAACTTACAAAAATCACCCATGGAAGAAGAAAAGGAATGTTTAGATTAGGGTTTCATGGGTGGAAAGGTCTACCTCCTACTCAGCCTCACATCCCAAAACAAACAAACAAACATTCTGGAGTTGCTATTAACCATGAACACAAAAATGTATAAGCTCAATTGATTTTGTGAGGGGGAATTTAAATTGATCAATCTATGGGCATAGGTCTACCTCCTTTCATATTCTCAGCTTTTTTTTTTTTTTTAAATAAGTCGCTTATCGTGATTTCAAATTGTAAATTCACTCAATGCAATATGTAAGTTTTATCAAGTAATTTTAAATGAATTTTTGTATGCATGGTGGGCATAAATATTGTCTACTTAGCTAAGAATCTTATTAGCTACATCCTGTGTTTATAAAATAATAGTTTCCTGTATCTGGTAAAGGCCGAGGAATACACTTTCTGGTCACTTACTATAAAAAATGTAATTACTAGTACCAAAATGAAAAAAAAAAAAAGTATTAATTTGCTATACTGTGTTTTCAGTTTGGCAGAGAATAATATAATTTGGGGGGAGGTATCATGTATACTTGTCAGTAAGAAATAAATCACATTCCAGATTGCCAGTGTAAGAGCTATCTCTGGTTCAGATTTATTTTGTAATGCACAGACTTTGTAAATAGTAAAATTGTACAATGGATTTATTCTACTGCCAGAGTTGTTCTGAACTTTTATTTTAATCAATGATGATCTTAATATTGCCTTTCCTAAAAATCAAAGCCAAAACATATAACAGTATTTGCCATTAAATATATTTGGATCCCTATCAGATTATTACATAATTACTAAATGACTTGTTAATATGATCAGGGAGCAGAAGAAATGTATTTATATGAACCACCATGCCATATATGTGCAAATGAAATTTTCCTACTGGGACTCTATGTATACGATTCCTGTCATTGGAGGTCTGAGTGCTGGCACTGTGGGACATTAGGATGCTGTCGGAGGAGCAGATTTATTTTGGCAAATCTCTGCTGATAAGATGGAGAACAGACCTCAGTGTTTTTCCTGAAAAATACTTAGCAAAACAATATACTTTGTCTTAGTATGTACATTTTAAACAAATGGGAGATAGTGAGCTTGTGTAGTCAAGAGTGTAGATTGATCCAAGAGAAAAATCTGTTTTAAGGATTCAAGTCTTCATATTTGGAGATAACTTTTGCTCTTCCTGGCTATGCCTATAGAACAATGGAGCAGCTGCCAAGTTGTCTGTATACAGTATGTATAGTAACATCCTTCTTTGGCATAATTGCACCAAAGTTGATTTTTCTTGATTATAATATTGTACAATAACAAAAAATAAAACTCAGGAATTGGTTTTAAATATAGGATGATTCATGTGTTTAATGGGTAATCATAGAATAACTTTAGACATGGGATGGGTTGAATACTTTGCTGGAATGTGCCATTTGTGTAAGATATTTTTTTTTTAAAAAAACTATATTCAGTCATTACAGCCTGAATTCTTGCTAAATCAAAGAAGTTAATTCTTAAATTATATGGAAGACATGGTTTGATAAAGTGATTGTCATACATATAATTTCTAAAGGAATTTTGTGGATTTGGCCAAATTGACACTAGGCAAGTAGTGATTGCTAGTATCATCATCATCTTTATTACGGTCACGGACTAGAATTACAAATAAAAATGCATTAAAATACATTGAAATACATTAAAAATACACATGATAATATATATACAGATTGGTGGGGTCATCTGTGGGCAGTCAAAATCTGCCTAATTTTGCAAACAGTATAACAAAATTTAGCTACGTTCAGGGAAACTA